TGCTCTGGAGCAACTGCACCTGAAGAGTGCACAGTCTATTTGCCGTTAGTGAATCCATCCTAATGCATAGACACACAGGGCTGTGCCAGTAATATGGAGTTCAATGCATAGACCCACAAAGCTGTGCATCCAATATGGGGCTCAATATATCGACACACAAGGCTTTGCCAGTAATATGTGGCTCAATGTATAGACCCAATAGGCTGTGCTAAATATGGGGCTTAATGTATAGGCACACAGCGCTGTGCCTCCAACATGGCGCTCAATGTGTATACATACAGGGCAGTGCCAGTAATATGGGGCTTGAGAGAGATATAAATAGATATATAATATATATATACACACACGCAGGGTTGTGCCAGTAATATGGGGCTTAATATATAGACACACAGGAGGATGCCAGAAATATATGACTCAGAGTATAGACACACAAGGCTGTGCTTCCAATATGGGGGTCAATATAAAGGCACGAATGGCTGTGTCAATGTAGGTCTCAGTATATAGACACATAGGCTTGTATTTGCTAAAGCTGGAGAGTGCAAAATCAGGCTCACTTCTGCATAGAAACCAATCAGCTTCTAACCTCAGCTTGTTCAATTAAAGTGGTTCTAAAGGCTCAAGGTTTTTTTACCTTCATTCAATGCACGAAGGTAAAAAGCCTTTGTGCAGCATCACCCCAGCCCCCTCCTAATACTCTCCTAGGCCCCTTCTCGATCCAGCGATGTGCACTGGAGTCTCGGCTATCCCGGGACTCCCTCTTCTCATTGGCTGAGTCAGAAGCGGGAGCCATTGGCTCGCACTGCTGTCAGTCACAGCCAGTAAGCCAATGAGATGAGGGGGGGGGGGGTGAGCCACGTCTTTGTGTGTGTGAATGGACACATGGAGCAGTGGGTGCCCCCATAGCAAGCTGCCTGCTGTGGGGGCACCCATCAGGAGGGAGGGGCCAGGAGAGCCTGTGGGGGACCCAAAAATAGGAAGATCCAGGCTGCTCTGTGCAAAACCACTGCACACATCAGGTAAGTAAAAACCTGTTTGTTATTTTTTCTTAAAAAAAAAAATAAGCCTTTAGAATCCCTTTAAGTTTTGACAGTAAAACCTGGAACCTGATTTCAGCTTTAGTAAATAAACCCCATAAGGCTGTGCCTCCAATATGGGAGTCAATGTTTAGACATGCAGGGGTGTGTCAGTAATATAAGGCGCAATATATAGACATACAGGGCTGTGCATCCAATATGGGGGTCAATGTATAAACAGGCAGGGCGGGGTCAGTAATATATAGCTCAATATATTGATACATTCGTGAAGACACACAGAATCTGGGTCACCTGTGCATAGTAACCAATCAGCTTCTAGATTTTAATGGCAAAGCTTTATTGAATGAGCTGAAGTTGGAAGCTGATTGGATACTATGCATAGCTGCACCAGTTTTAGTAAATCCCCCCCATAAGGCTGTGCCTCCAATATGGGGGTCGAGGTATAGACACAAAGGGCTGCGCCTCCAATATGGGGGTCAATGTATAGACACACAGGGCTACGCCTCCAATATGGGGGTCAATGTATAGACACACAGGGCTGCTCCTCCAATATGGGGGTCAATGTATAGACACACAGGGCTGCGCCTCCAATATGGGGGTCAATGTATAGACACACAGGGCTGCGCCTCCAATATGGGAGTCAATGTATAGACACACAGGGCTGCGCCTCCAATATGGGAGTCAATGTATAGACACACAGGGCTGCGCCTCCAATATGGGGGTCAATGTATAGACACACAGGGCTGCTCCTCCAATATGGGGGTCAATGTATAGACACACAGGGCTGCGCCTCCAATATGGAGTCAATGTATAGACACACAGGGCTGCGCCTCCAATATGGGGGTCAATGTATAGACACACAGGGCTGCGCCTCCAATAGGGGGGTCAATGTATAGACACACAGGGCTGCGCCTCCAATAGGGGGGTCAGTGTATAGACACAGGGCTGCTCCTCCAATATGGGGGTCAATGTATAGACACACAGGGCTGCGCCTCCAATATGGGGGTCAGTGTATAGACACACAGGGCTGCGCCTCCAATATGGAGTCAGTGTATTCACACACAGGGCTGCGCCTCCAATATGGGGGTCAGTGTATAGACACACAGGACTGCGCCTCCAATATGGGGGTCAGTGTATAGACAAACAGGGCTTCTCCTCCAATATGGGGTTATTGTATAGACACAAAGGACTGCGCCTCCAATATGGGGTCAGTTTATACTGTAGACACAGGACTGCACATCCAATATGGGGTCAGTGTATAGACACACAGGGCTGCGCCTCCAACATGGGGGTCAGTGTATAGACACACAGGACTGTGCCTCCAATATGGGGGTCAGTGTATAGACACACAGGACTGTGCCTCCAATATGGAGTCAGTGTATTATTATTATTATACAGTATTTATATAACGGCAAAACGTTTGCTCAGTGCTGTACATTATAGTGGGGGACAGTACATGAGACAATACAATACACAAGGGGTTCGAGGGCCCTGCTCCTTGGAGCTTACAATCTAGGAGGGAGGGGATAGTGGTACAGGAGGAAATGGCTGTGGGGAATGGAGTGGTAGGATGAGTGAAGGAGATTGGCTGTTAGGTGAGGGCGGGGTAGGCTTCCCTGAAGAGATGGGTTTTCAGGGTGCGCCTAAAGGTGAGGGGGGTAGGTGACAGTCTGATGGATTGAGGTAGTGAGTTCCAGAGGATGGGGGAAGACCTAGAGAAGTCCTGGAGTCGGGCATGGGAGGAGGAGACCAGGGAACTAGTGAGTAGGAGGTCTTATGAGGAGCGAAGAGTACATGTTGGGTGGTATTTGGATATATCAGGTCGGTGAGGTAGTTTGGGGCAGTATTATGAATAGCTTTGTACGTCGATGTTGGTAGTTTGAATTTTATGCGTTGGGCAATCGGAAGCCAGTGGAGGGAATGACAGAGGGGGGTGGCGGATACGGAGCTGATGGATGAGTCTGGCTGCTGAGTTCAGGATAGACTGAAGCGGGGAGAGTCTGTGATGAGGTAGGCCGGTGAGAAGGGAGTTGCAGTAGTCGAGTCGTGAGATAATAAGGGAGTGAATGAGTTGTTTAGTAGTGTCTGGCGTTAGGAACGAACGTATTTTGGAGATGTTACGGAGGTGGAGCCTGCATGAATTTGCCAGTGATTGGACATGGGGCTGGAAGGATAGGTTGGAGTCTAGAGTGACACCTAGAACTTTGGCTTGCGGGATGGGACTGATGGTGGCGTTATTGGTCGTGATGCAGAGGTTGTGGGGGCACGAGCTGGGGGGAAAACTAGGAGCTCGGTTTTGGAAAGGAGGAAAGGACCCCATATTGGAGGACTGCACCTCCAATATGGGGTCAGTGTATAGGCACACAGGACTGCGCCTCCAATATGGGGGTCAGTGTATAGACACACAGGGCTGAGCCTCCAATATGGGGTCAGTTTATAGACACACAGGGCTGCGCCTCCAATATGGGGTCAGCGTATAGACACAGAGGGCTGCGCCTCCAATATGGGGGTCAGTGTATAGACACACAGGGCTGTGCCTCCAATATGGGGGTGAATGTACAGACACACAGGGCTTCTCCTCCAATATGGGGGTCAGTGTATAGACACACAGGGCCGCACCTCCAATATGGGGGTGAATGTATAGACACACAGGGCTGCGCCTCCAATATGGGGGTGAATGTATAGACACACAGGACTGCGCCTCCAATATGGTGGTGAATGTATAGACACACAGGACTGCGCCTCCAATATGGGGTCAGTGTATAGACACACAGGACTGCGCCTCCAATATGGGGGTGAATGTATAGACACACAGGGCTGCACCTCCAATATGGGGGTCAGTGTATAGACACACAGGGCTGCACCTCCAATATGGGGGTGAATGTATAGACACACAGAGCTGCGCCTCCAATATGGGGGTCAGTGTATAGACACACAGGAGTGCACCTCCAATATGGTGGTGAATGTATAGACACACACAGGACTGCGCCTCCAATATGGGGGTGAATGTATAGACACACAGGGCTCCGCCTCCAATATGGGGGTGAATGTATAGACACACAGCGCTGTGCCTCCAATATGGGGGTGAATGTATAGACACACAGGGCTCCGCCTCCAATATGGGGGTGAATGTATAGACACACAGCGCTGTGCCTCCAATATGGGGGTCAATGTATAGACACACAGGGCTGCGCCTCCAATATGGGGGTGAATGTATAGACACACAGCGCTGTGCCTCCAATATGGGGGTGAATGTATAAACACACAGAGCTGCGCCTCCAATAGAGGGGTGAATGTATGAACACAGAGGGCTGCACCTCCAATATGGGGTGAATGTATAAACACAGAGGGCTGCGCCTCCAATAGGGGGTGAATATAACAAGCACCATATGATGCTCAGAGTATAGAACACACAAGGCAGTGTTGCAGCACTCATGTGACCCCAGAATGAGCTTTGGTTGCCTTCTGCTGTCAGTGCTGTTGTGGGCAGGCAGCACCGCATTGTACGTGGCTGATGGAGAATCCCTTGTCTGTGGCTTGGAGCGTCATCACAGCTGTCCATCAGCATGCCTTGCTATGAAGCCCTCTCCAGCATGGGCCCTGTGTGTCTGGGAGAAAGCTGAATCAATCCTTTGAAGCTCACACAAGTTGAAATAGGAGAACAATATGCCCTGAGAGGCCAAGCCAAGCCCTCCTCCTCTGACACTGCCTTATGGCTCTTCCCCTCCCTTTGCCTGCAAATGAACAGCTGAAAGGCTTGTCTTGTGGCAATCCCAGAGTTCCAGGGGTCAGGGCTTGCAGTACAGTAGCTCGGTGGATGTGTTGCCTGTAATGTGCTCCTGCTACCTGGACAGGGTGTGAATACTGCAGGATCCTGTGCACATGATGAGGAGCCCAGGTGGCTAGTGCACCTCATTGTAGAGTTGGAGAGTACCCCACCGCCTGTCTCTGCAGTCATAGAGCAGCATGGAGGGAGGGACTGATGCTGTGCTAGCTGCTGCTTTCCCCAGTCTCCACGCAGCACCTTCATCTGCAGCCAGAATGGCATCAGGGAGTAATCTGGACGATCTGGACAGGTCAGTCATTCATGTTGTGTGTCCTGGGCTTTGTAGTGTGGATGTGCTGGGAATGGTAGGCAGGCTATAGAGCGACAGGCTGCATGCTCATTGTTTGCTGCTTGCATTCCTGTGTGTGGGAATTGAGTAGTTTGGGGGAGGAGAAGAGGCATGCATACATTACAGTCTGCTGGCCTGGGTCCCCCCTTGTTCACACATCTATTTCTGTGCATTGTGATAAATATGACACCTGGGCTATAATGTCCTGAAAGGTCACCATTAACCCGTTCTCCTCCCCCGCACATGTGTGAATGAGTGCAGGAAGCAGAGGGTGTGCATACACACAGTAGCATACTGCAGGTGCCTCTGCAGCACAGCTGTCATTCCCATTCACAATGTTAGGATCTTGAGTGCCAGGGTACCAGATCCCCTGCATCCAGCGCCGCACACTGCAGAGGTATAAAACCTAACCGCACCATATGAGAGTACAAGTACAGCGATCGCAAAACGTCTTTACTGAAAGTCTAACCATCACTCCTCAGCCACCCTCTGGATTTTCACCATAGAAACATTTCCATGGTTTATTCTTCTACTTCTTCTTATATAAATAATACACCACCCTGACCTCCTATTGACTAGTCAATCTTTTATTGCTTCACAGTTGACATTTTATAGTGGTTGGTTTTACGTACCCCATATACCAGAGTAGTACGTATAATTCAGGAGCCAGTCAGTCCACTCTCAGAAGTCAGGACACATGTGCTTCCCTTAGCAACAATAAAAGGGGGCGAAATAAGTGAGTTTCCTTTCTGCAGGAATTCGTCCACCTTGGCCCAGGTTAGTTATCAAACAAAAGCGTGAAATGACCAGATTTGGAAAACTGTATATTTGGGTTGAGGGTGGGAGGGGTAATGTTTACAGGCAGCCCATGTGGCCTCAGTCTGGGGAGATGTACACTCTATGTAGTCATTTATTGTGACTAATCACATATAATATTTGGACACAATGCAGGAGCCTGTAATTATACTCCTTGCATTGTGGCACATTTGTAACAAGCTGTGTACTGCATGTCATCACATGTACACAGTTTGAATGTTTTACTGCAACACTCAGATCAGCTGATTTCATACAAATAAACTGGTTTCCTCCACCCACTCTGACACTGAACACACACTAATCACCTGATCAGCTACACATCAGATGAGTATTAAAGCTAGCCATACACTTAAAGGATAAGTTCACCTTTTTACAAAAAAAAATAAATACACATTTTTTGCGGGTTAAAAAAATGTGAATTTATTATTTTTTGTTTCTGGAGCCTCTGGGCAGCACAGTGGCTAAATGGTTCGCACTTCCGCCTGGCAGTAATAGGGTCATTGGTTCGAATCCCAGCCACGGCACCACCTGCCTGGAGTTTTCAAGTTCTCCCTATGCCTGTGTGGGTTTCCTCCGGGTACTCTGGTTTCCTCCCAGACTCCAAAGACATGCTAGTAGGTCAATTGGTTCCTGTCTACTTTGGCCCTAGTATGTATGAATGTGAGTTAGGGACCTTAGATTGTACGCTCCTTGAGGGTTAGGGACTGATGTGAATGTACAATATATATATATGTGTGTGTGTGTAAAGCGCGGCGTAAATTGGCCCTAGTATGTATGAATGTTCGTTAGGGACCTTAGATTGTACGCTCCTTGAGGGTTAGGGACTGATGTGAATGTACAATATATATGTATATGTGTGTGTGTAAAGCGCGGCGTAAATTGGCAGCACTATATAAGTACCTGTAATAATATTAATAATAAAGCATTGCATCAGAAGTCAGCAGTCAGCTTATCACTGGTGCCATGCAGGTCTCCTGCAGACCTGTCAGTATATCTGCTTGCCTATACAGGATGTACAAGCAAGCAGATATACTGACGAGAAGAATCAATGAACAACTACAAGCCGACAGTAGCAAAGGCGGTTGGGACTTTTAGTTCCTTCATTCACAGAACACCGTGAATGAGTGATGCAGCCGTTTTTCTAAAATTGTGATTGCTAACAGGGAGGAGAAGACCTCTGCTATGGGGATCGGGAAGGAGCGGGGGCCCGTTTGTTTGGTGTAACATGTTAAAAAAGGTGAACTTATCCTTTCAGATGGCAATAGATGGATAGAAATTCTGATCCTTGTATAGGTAGAAGTTGATCTATTGATTGACTTCAGTACAAGCAGCCTGTTGGGTTTTTTTGTACAATTTCTGCTGCTGGCTAACTTCCCCCTGTCAGAATACAAAAATTCAGCCTTCGTTTTCTTTGCTCAGCCAGCGGGATTCCTCCATCCACTAAATGGAGGAATCCCCACTGCTAGGATATTGTCTCTGTCAGAATACACAGATTAGCAGCTTCTGATTGATGGAGATTTTCTGTGCTTCTTTGACAGAAATCATTTAAACAATCGACTTCTGTCAAATGGGGGAGCCCACAAACACTGATTGAAATCCCTCCTGGATTGGCCCGAATTTCGATCAGTGTATGGCCAGTTTACAAGAAGACAGACATGGGCAGATGGAGGACAAAACTGGGCTGAGGACGGATAGACATTAGCTGTAGAAAGATGTACATGGGCTGAGGGAGTGTAAACGTGAGCTAAGATGAAATGGTCAAAGAGTTCAGCACAATAAACCTATGATTAACAGTGGTGACAGCCACACACAACCATTTCCTTAGAATTACAAATCCTCAGACTTCACTGGAATATTTAGGGAAGACTTTTCACTATCAGTGTTACATTGTAAACATAAAGCAGACACTCGTATGTACCAGCAGAGTGCTGATATCCAGCTATTAAAGCACAGAAGCTGGAGGAGGACTGCACAATATACCCTTTGCAGGTGGCGATTTCAGGGGAGCAATGCTGCACACACATGGGGATATTGATTAGAAAATAAGTGGGCTCCTGAGAGGTGACACCGGGGTATCTTGCTCCATTGGTGGAGTCGTACTTTCTCACAACAATCTTCCCTCTTTCCTAAGTGCATTACTGTATTGAATTACTATTAATAAATTCACAGACCTCCTATGTTGGTGCACTTTTTGTCTGCTGTATATTTTTGATAATGTGTTCTCTTGTAAGACTTTCAGAGAATGATGCTTTAAAGCTGGCCATACACAGAAGGAAATTCAGCCAGTCCAGCAGGGACCACCATCATTTGGATGAGTGTGTGGGCTTGCCGGCTTGACAGAAGTTGGTTGTTTAGTCAATTTAAGTCCAAAGGACACGTTGCAGCCGCTAATCAGCGTATTCTGACAATGGCTTGTGCTACTGTCAGTGTACAATGTCACAGCGGGGAGATTCCAACATCCACCTTGTTTGTATGGATAGAGGAATCTGGTTTTTTCATTCAGCCAACTGGCTGGAGAACACAACAAACCTGTATGATCAGCTTGGTTGATAATGTGGATGGCACAGCCCCTTGTTTTGTATTTGTGGCCATTGGCAGACTCCATGGAGGATGGATAAAATATCATGCCATGTGGTCACTGATCCCTGAATTTAAATCGCTAATATCACACAACCTCCCCTGAGTATTTCTAATTCTGCTCTAATCATACTGAGTACATGTAGGCCTAGGTCTTCCTTAGGCCGTTGTGTGTAATTGCTGCTCAGAGAATGATCATCTGTGTTAGCAGATGGACTTGGAAGCTGTGTGAGTCTGAAGAGCAGAAGCTGCCCAGGACCTGGAGCTCAAGTGCCTGGAGTCCTCTCCAACAGAGGACAGAGCAGCAGCTCAGGCCTGGCCAAGATATCTTCACCGATATCCAAGCAGATTGTGCATTAGGATCTCCATACAGCGTGTAGGGTAGTAATGATAGCTTTGCATGTGACTGCTGATGTGTCCTCCATTTGTTAGGAACACTGGGGGGAGGGATCTTGAGAAATACTTTATCAGGGATTATAATCTCATTTATATTAGAGGTGAAATGAAAGGGCAACTCAGCTTAGCGCTTACATCCACCATGACCTCGTTATTGCTGTACAAATCTTAAACCTTTTTTTTCATATCCATTTTTTATGATGATCTCCATCTTCTGTCAGGAAACAAGTGGAAAGGTTTGAATTCTCAATCCTGTGACTGGCACTCTTGCTCATTAGACTGTCACAGCTGCCTAGGGCCGATGCAGGAGATGAAACACAGCTCTCTTCTGAGCTCATCATGAACGACTTTCATTGGTGTCGGGTTGTCGTCTGTAAATGAGCTGCTGGCTCATTGGAAGGAAAGCAAGTGAATTTAGTTATGTTTGAGACTGGCGTTCCCCTTGTAGAGAATGAAGCGTCTGCCTTGGTAAATAATAACGGAGCCCCAACTATGTGTTGCTTTCTAGTTGATGAAACAACCTTTGGATGGCATCCATCAGATATCTGTGACGTTTCTGTAATTCCTGTGTCCCCAACCATGAGTGAGGGGGACAGTCGGCCAGTATAGGCTCGGGGGGGATCCCAGTATTTCTTCCCTGGGGCCCCTCTTATGGCCTATGTACAGAATAGATGAGTGTCTGCAGACAGGGGAGATAAGTAGATGTGTGAGGAGGATGGATGGCTGCGATATCACATACTGTCACTTTCCCACCAACAATGCAGCCTTGTTCACAGACAATGCAGAAGGAATCTGAGGGGGAGATTGTGGAATCTGTGCCTTATGTACTAAGTCCATTCAGTCACTGGAACAAAGGCAGATAGCTGCTCCCTGCTGTATTCCTCATTCTTCTGTATACTCTCCCTTGTAAAGTAAATCTAATCTTCTTCTTCTGCCCATGGTAACACCTGCAGTGCCGCTGCTTGGTAAAGATTCCTTACTGTCGGCAGTCTCCTTGTAAGACTTCAGGATGTCTTTGCAGAGCCACATACATCAATGTTGTAAAGGGGAACGATCATCTTTTTGTATCCTTTTGTTGATTGACTTAAGGCAGCAATCTGCGCTGAACCTCTGTTGTGTTTATACAAGAGGCGTGCATGTTTTCTTACTTGGTGAGCTTTGTGTATTTCTTC